TAAAAAAAAAAGGGGGGGGGGGTGCTTGTGTACATCAGGGATAAGAATGAGACATCATCCACTGGCTCACACTGAACTGATGAAAGAAGAACTAAAATTAGAAATTTATTAGGATCAACAGGAATCCCAAATATTAGCAGTAAATTAGCACATGGGTTAACAAAAAGAACCACTGACAAGCCAACTTTTCTGTGTCATATTTATTGTCCTATTGATTTTATTTTAAAGGGATGTGTATTGCACTCTTGTCCAGGCTAGAGTGCAGTGGGGTGATCACAGCTCACTCTAGCCTCAAATTTGTGGCTCAAGTGATCCTCTCACAGGACCCTCCTGAGAAATTGGGACGGCAGGTACATACCACCAAGCCCACTTAATATTTTTTAGAGACAGGGTCTTGCTATGTTCCCCAGACTGGTCTCAAAATCATGGACTCAACCAACCCTTCTACCTAAGCCTCCCTAGTAGCTGGGATTATAGGTACAAGCTATGGCACTCAGTGCTCAGAATTTTTGAAGGTGGGAAGGGGAACTTATTAAGTAGAAAGCTTTGAGAAACAGACATCTGCTTGACCTTCAGAGTGCTATTAGAATAGAAAATTGTCTCTAATATATGAATCCCTTGTACAATCATCTTGTAAAAGCTACTTACTAAAAGCATTCACCAAGAACAAGCAAAAAAAAAACACATGAATAGATAGGATTAAATAAGGATTTAGAATTTAGCATTTGTTAAGACTATCTAGCACATAGTACTCAGCAGCTGGTCAATACACAAACAAGAAAAGAAACCAGGCGGAGCCCCAGTGGCTCATGCCTATAATCCCACCACTTTGGGAGACAAAGGTGGGAGGCAATTTAAAAATTAGCTGGGTGTGATAGCGCATGCCTATGGTTCCAGCTATTCAGGAGCCCAAGGCAGGAGGCTCAGCTGAGACAGGAGGTTGAGACTGCACTAAGGACAGTGAGTGACACAGCGAGACTTTGTTGCACAGATAAAATAATAATAATAATAAAATAAATTAAAAACCACAGATAGCTCTAAGAAGATGAAGAAGAAACATACAAGCACTATTTTCAAAGTGTTTAACTTGGACAATGATAGTCATGGGAAACAACTGAAATTCAGTAAGTCAAATTCAAAAGTATTTCAATGGGACAAGTGACAAGAAGTTTCTTCTCCAAAGATTTCCTCTAAATATGGGGAAATTCTATTTAAAAAAACTTATTTCCCAGGTAAGATGTGAGAGACGTTGGCATGAAAGCCAGGCAGTAGAAGCTAAAAGCAAAAAAGGATAATAAAACAGAACTCATGCTTCTAGCTTACCATGTGGACACAGAATGTCTTCATTAAAATTTAATTCCTCCTCTTCTTCTTTTCTTTCTTCCTTTGATTCATCTATTCAAAAGAAATACAAATGATATCTGCTGCGGTTATTGTACTTAAACTTCAAAGCAGCAGATATACTACACCGCACAATTTGGAACAAAGAAAACTTTAAAAATCTGAAAATTAGACCCAAGTGATTCCTACACAGTTCTGCTAAAAAGTGTTACATTTCTTTCCCTTAAAAGGAAACAGGAACATCTCAATGACAGTTAACTTTTAAAGATTTAGGTTATGCAAGAAAATGTGCCTTTTTAAATTCAAAAAATGGAATTCTTCTATTAATTCTAGTTAAGGTATTGAGAATACTGTGTCATAAACCAAGTTAATCATCTACATGTCATGGCATGGCATGGCATTTTCACTTACCCACCTTTTTAGGGAGTGACCACAAAGCTTTAAAGGCAAATGAAATAAGGACTTAACCTTTAACATCAAACACAGTCGTCCCCGCTGATCAGTGGGGGACATATGTTCCAAGACCCCAATGGATGCCTGAAACCTCACATACTACCAAACTTAATAAGCATCCATTGGCATATTTCTGTTCATGTCTTCCACCCACAAATGTAATGTCTTTTCCGTCTTAACTAAACAGTTATCACACTGTGGCCATAACTTGCAGCTTCAAGTTTGACAACACAACTAGCATGATTTTTTTTCCTTCTTAACAATTTCACAGACAGATTTGTTCCTGTAGATCTTAGCAACCTCAGCATACAATTATTTTTTCTTTCCTTATTTAAGTTAAGAACTTACTTCCACCTTTTCACTTAAAGGAAGCACTTTGTGGCTTCTTTCTGACATACCTGAATTGCCAACATTACCACTCTTCCACTTTGAAATCATTATTAAGTAAAATAAGGGTGACTTGAACAAAGGCACTCCTATAGTCAATCCGATCACCAAGAGGACTGCCAGGTGACCTGTGGGTGGCATGCATAGCATGGAAAAGCTGGACACAGGGAAAATTCACATCGCAGGCAGGATGAAGCAGGACAGCATGAGATACAATATCATGCTACTCAGAACAGTGTGCAATTTAAAACCTATGAATTGTTTTCTGGAAGTTTCCATACAATATTTTCAGACTGCAGTTCACTGCAGATTAACTGAAACCAGGAAAAGTAAGACCTTGCATAAGGGGGGACCGTTACATTTTGCTTTTCCTGTTAACATTTCTCTTCCAATATCTGCTTTTCCTGCTTTTCTATACACTGTGTCACTATCAATATGTAGTTGTATATACTGGGAACAGGATCAAATGAAGAAACCATTATCCATGGGTTTTCCAGGTTAAATATTTCACACATTTTTTTTTACTACAATTAATGCATACAAAGAATATTTGCTAGTCATTTAAAAGCTGAAGCAGGCCGGGCACGGTGGCTCAAGCCTGTAATCCCAGCACTTTGGGAGGCCGAGGCGGGTGGATCACGAGGTCAAGAGATTGAGACCACCCTGGTCAACACGGTGAAACCCCGTCTCTACTAAAAAAATACAAAAAATTAGCTAGGCATGGTGGCACGTGCCTGTAATCCCAGCTACTCAGGAGGCTGAGGCAGGAGAATTGCCTGAACCCAGGAGGCGGAAGTTGTGGTGAGCCGAGATCGCGCCATTGCACTCCAGCCTGGGTAACAAGAGCGAAACTCCGTCTCAAAAAAAAAAAAAGCTGAAGCAGAGGCCAAGGACAGTGGCTCAAGCTTATAATCCCAGCACTTTGAGAAGACAAAGCAGGCATATCGCCTGAACCCAGGAGTTTGAGGACAGTCTGAGCAACATGGCAAAATCCAATCTCTACAAAAAGTACAAAAATTATCTGGGCATGGTGCCTGGGGTCTCAGCTACTCAGGAGGCTGAGGTGAGAGGACTGCTTGAGCCTATGAGGTGGAGGCTGCATGGAGTTGCGACTGTGCCACTGCACTCCAGGTGAGAGATCCTGTCTCAAAACAAAAACAGAAACCAAAACAAACCACCACCACCAAGAGTAAAAATGCCCATGAAAGTAAAATTTAAAAATGGGCAAAGGAAGAACGTGACTGGATAATTCTGTCTCCTCTTTTTCTTTGTCACACATACAAATCACTTCTCAAACCTAAGAAGATGGTCAACCTCAATAATATTTTGAAAAACGTTAAGCCATTGCACTCCAACCTGGGCAACAAAAGCAAAACTTCATCTCAAAAAAAACAAAAAACAACAAAAAAACATGATGTGACTGATGTATTCTTTATGTTGACAAAAGCATGCAAAAATGAACCCCTTAATATGTATATATTGAAAAAAATTTACCAGTATAGGTCAGTATGTGGCAATTATAAATATTTATAATTTTCTGATCCAGCAATTTCTAGGAACTTATTTCTCAGAAATAATCTGAAAATTCTGTAATGATGTATACAGTATGTATGTATGTATGTATACAGTACATAAAAGGACCCTCATTACATCCGTGTGTATATACTAACTGTAAAAAAATTAAAATAGAATCAGACGAACATAATGGATCCACAAAATAAAATGCAGTCAATAAAATTTTTTTTCTAAAAAAGGCTGTATGTTTTGACACGGAGAGATGTAGAACTGTGCCCATATGAGCTCCATTATAAAAAGCCACTATTTACAGTGATTGTATCTGGTGGGAAGGCTTTGAAGTCCTACTCTGTTATATTTGTGCTGCCTGAAGCTTTTGAAATTTTTTAACGGGGAAAGGAGAATAGAGGCATATTACTATGAAAGAAACATGAAAAATATTTTTAAGCTAGGCCAACATGAAGGTGCTTTCTATTATGGCATCCACTTTTACTAAAAATGAAGGGACACTGATAGATAAAGAGGATTTAAAAAGCAGTAAATAAATACCTACCACTAAAGTCACACAATACCACTAAAATTATAGTATAGTTTTTCAAATGACAGGACAATAAAACTCAAATTGATGTTAAGTTCATTAATTATATGGCACAATAAAATGTTTCAATCAAAAGGAAAAACTCGGATGGGCATGGTGGCTCACACCTGAAATCCCAACACTTTGGGAGGCCAAGGCAAGTGGATCATGAGGTTGGGAGGTCAAAACCAGCCTGGTCAACATAGTGAAACTCCGTCTCTACTAAAATACAAAAATTAGCTAGGCATGGTGGTGCATGCCTGTAATCCCAGCTACTTGTAAGGCTGAGGCATGAAAATCACTTGAACCAGGGTGGCGGGGGCGTCGGGGCAGAGGTTGCAGTGAGCCAAGATCGGGCCACTGCACTCCAGCCTGGGCAACAACATAGTGAGACTCCATCTCAAGAAACAAACAAAAAAAAGTAAAAACTTTTCAAGTTTGAAAATGTTAACAATCATAGCTCAAGGAGTTTAAAACTAATACTGGGTTGGTTTACTCAAAAAGTAAGGTAGTGATATGTGAAGATCAATACCAAATAAAATATAAAATGATAGAAATGGGCCAGGTGCAGTGGCTCACACCTATAATCCCAGCACTTTGGGAGGCCAAGGTGGGAGGATCGCTTGAGCATAGGAGTTGTAGGCCAGCCTTAGCGACATAGTGAGGCCTCATCTCTAGAATTTAAAAGAAATAAAAACTGGCTAGGTGGGGTGGCTCACGCCTGTCATCTCAACACTTTGGAAGGCCAAGGCAGGCGGATCACTTGAGGTCAGGAGTTCAAGACCAACCTGGTCAACACAGTGAAACTCCATCTCTACTAAAAAGATAAAAAATTAGTTAGGAAGGGTGGCAGGTATCTGTACCTATAATCCCCAGCTACTCGGGAGGCTGAGGCAGGAGAATTGCTTGAATCTGGGAGGTGGAGGCTGCAGTGAGCCTAGATCACACCACTCCACTCCAGCTTGGGCAACAGACTGAGATTCCATCTCAAAAAAAAAAAGGCTGGGCATAGTGGCTCTCGGCTATAATCCCAGCACTTTGGGAGGTCAAGGCGGGTGGATTACTGGAGGTCAGGAGTTCAAGACCAGCCTGGCCAACATGGTGAAACCCCTTCTCTACTAAAAATACAAAATTAGCTGGGCATGGTGGTGTGTGCCTGTAATCCCAGTTACTCAGGAGGTTGAGGCAGGAGAATTGCTTGAACCCGGGTGGTGGAGATTGCAGTGAGCAGAGACTGCACCATTGCACTCTAGCCTGGACAAAAAGAGCCAAACTCCATCTACTCCATCTCAAATAAATAAATAAGTAAAATGAAACTAAAAATTAAAAAATTATACGATATAAATGATATGGAATTCTTGAATGCGGAAAATACAGAATATTTCAATAAAGGTCAGTAACATTAAAGTAGTAAATTTCCTTGACATCTTACAAAGCACTGATTATGAAATTAAATTTAGTGTTTAATTTACAATAACAATTTCTGATTTGAAAGCATAGGAAAATCAGAAGAATTTATAAGCAAAGAGGTATTCAAAAGCTGCCCTCTCCACTTGATGAAAGATAAAGAAGTACAAGCTCATTTACTTGACAAAGGCAGTGTTGCAGATAATCCAAAACCAAAATGTACTGAGCATACGATATACTATGCCAATGTGCAGTAGGCTTAACCTTTCTTTAAACTCTCAGCCTAGAGCAGAATTAATGTTCATTTTGCATGTGATTAACTAGACAGAGCTTGAGCTCAAAGCATGACAGGTTATAAAGGAAAATTTTACATGTGAGTTGCTGAGTCCTTGCTGAATTTCAATAGCTTAAAAATCTTTTATTTGCTCTAAGCTATTTGTGAAAGCTTGTAGTTTAATAAAAGTTGTCTTTAAAATTACATGGATGGGTACTAAGCCAATTTTACTAAATTTTTTTTTTTTTTTTTTTGGAGACAGAATCTCACTCTGCACAATCTTGGCTCATGAAAACCTACAACTCCTGGGTTCAAGCAATTCTCTTGCCTCAGTCTCCCGAGTAGCTGGGACCACAGGTGTGCAGGTAGATCACCTGAGATGACCACCCCTGGCTAATTATTTTTGTATTTGTAGTAGAGACGAGGTTTCACCATGTTGCTCAGGCTGGTCCTGAACTCCTGACCTCAAGTGATCGACCTGCCTTGGTCTCCTGAAGTGCTGGGATTACAGGCATGAGCCACTGCACTCAGCCTAAAATTGTTTTTTCGAGAAACAGGGACTCTCCAATGCAAGATGCAGGAAAAAAGAAGAAAAAAAAAAGAGAGAAACAGGGTCTCACTCTGTTACCCAGGCTGGAGTGCAGTGGGGCTAGCATTAACTCACTAAACTACTGGGCTCAAGTGATCTGCCCACCTGAGCCTCCCACGTAGCTGAGACTATAGGAATGAGCGACTTACACTTTCATCGTAATTTCACAATGATCTACACATAGGTTTAAAGCGTTACCTTTATTTAAGGTGCTGCCGTTCATCCTTCCGTTGCTTTGTTCTGCATCACCGTCTTGCTCATCTAGCTGTTCAAGAGCTAGCTGGCGCCAACTCCGCAAAGAAGACTTCCCCACCCAAAATCCATCATTGCTGTGGAAGAGAGAATGTTAAACCATACAAGTAACATTTCCTTTGTTTTTTGTTTTTCTTTATATTTATTGAGACACTGGATCCTGAGCAAATGAAGAAACCTACAGCTGTATTTTGGAAGAGAGATGTGATGTTATGTGCTTTACTTAGCCTATCCCTCCAGGGAAAAATAAACTTAGGGAAGTGCTTCTGACCATTCTGAGGAAGTGGATTTGAGCCTACAAGTAACATTTCAAACGGGGTCCTCCCTGATTTCCCCGTAAAAACAATAACTGGCCAGGTACATTGGCTCAGGCCTCTAATCCCAGCATTTTGGGAGGCTGAGGCAGGCAGATCACCTGAGGCTGGGAATTCAAAGCCAGCATGACCAACATGGAGAAACTCCGCCTCTACTCTAAAAATACAAAAATCAGCCGGGCATGGTAGTACATGCCTGTAACCCCAGCTACTCAGGAGGCTGGGGCAGCAGAATTGCTTAAACCAGGGAGGTAGAGGTTGTAGTAAGCTTCGATTATGCCATTGCACTCCAGCCTGGGCAACAAGAACAAAATTCCGTCTCAAAAGAACAACATCAACAAAAGTAAATTACAAACACTCAAAATCAGCTACTGTGTATGTAATTGTTTTTAACCTACTTCCTACTTTTCATCATTTTCACTGTTCACTATTGAACTGCAGGGATCTAATATTTTGTTTCCATTCTAAATATTATCCTGCTTTTCCTACATTCATGCCAATCAGATCAATTAAATGGCAGGATGGAATACAGTGGCAAAGGTTACCTGACCCAGCTTTCTTTATCATTGTCACAGGGGCAGTCATTGCAAAATTTACTTTTGATCTGGCCCTGCCATCCACTTTATCACCCTTCTAAAAATCCCAACGGCCTATTTTTAACAAATAGTGAGCTGCTTGGTTATGACCTCTTAAAAATTTCTTACTTTATCATACTGTTCACTGTGCAACATACCCTTTTACTGCTACTTTTAGCAGATTATTAACAGTTTTATAATCTTCATTTAGTTGGTTCTTCAGACGTAATACGCGGCAACGTTCTACTACACATTCCTTACACAGGGCTTTCACTACAGGCAAAAAAGAATGAAAGGAAATATATTTCATTCAAACAGATTTCCTGTTAGGAAAATGTTTTTGGCACTTCACAAACACAGACACATTCTAAACCAAAGTCACAAATTTTGGCAATATAGCAAATTGATGTATACTCTAAATTATTTTACTAAGACAATTAGATACCAAGATAGCAATACGGTTATTTGAATAAAAAAAGAACAATAACAGACAAAAAGTTGTATTATGCTAAAAGTACCTAAGTACAGAATCTGACAAGGTTTACATGCAAGTTTTATGAGATGATAATCAAATAACTAAGGTTCTAGGTGGGGGGAGTAAATATAGTGGATAATTATAAATCATGATCTTCAGGTGAAAGTGATCTTCAAAGCACACTAATGGAAAAAGAAAAATGAAGGGTGTGGTTTAAAACATAGAATTTTTAGGAATCATCTAAAATGTGAAAGCTCTTCCCACTGCATGGTTTATCAATTGTGAATTAAGAAGAGAGGCAGGTATAGTGGCTGCCAGCCTGGCCAACACAGTGAAACCCGTCTCAACTAAAAATACAAAAACTAGCCAGGCGTGGTGGTGCACGCCTGCACTCTCAGCTACCCGGGGGATTAATCAAGAATCACATTGCTACCTCACAAATCACAACCCAGGAGGCAGAGGTTGCAGTAAGCTGACATCACGCTACTGCACTCTAGCCTGGGTGACAAAGCAAGACTCGGTCTCAAATTTAAAAAAAAACAAAACAAAAAGAAGAAGTCACTATAACGTGGAGGTACAAACGTGCAATTAACCAGACAAGGGCTCGAGTACCTTAAACAGTATTATGTAGAGTAACAAACTACCACCAGACAATTTTCTCAAAAGGGCCCTATTTTGTCTGCTTTCAGAGGGTTTAACAAAATAAAACAAAAAACAAACTAAAAAAACCCCAACTACATTCACTCCCCCCTACCTTAGAACCTCAACCCTCTAAGAACAGCATCAGTGGCTAAACTTCTACTTTATTTAGCAAATCCTCTTTGCAAAGTGTAAGGAACATCTGATCTAAATAGTTGGGGTCAAATCATCATACCACACTCAAAAAACCGTAAGATGAAGATTTAATGAGCTGCTGTTTTTTAAACAAAGAGGACATCTTGAATTACCAGTTAGTCGTGGACCTCCTCCATATCTACTATAGAAAATGTCAGCTGCATATTCAGATATCCTCTTCATAATCGATATTTTATCTGGGTGAAGTTTGTCATGGGAACACAGGCAAGCGTGATTATCAATGGGTTTAGTAGGTGTTGATTCATCCAACCACTTTTGCAGCCATTCCAGAGAGACAAACTCATAGGGCTCTGAGAAAGCAAGCATCGGAAAGAGCCTATGTATTTTTACAGTTTTTCGACTAAGTGATACATTCATTTTTCTCAAAAGACAATGCAAACTCTGTCCAGAGTTAGCAGAATCAGAAGAATCGTTGTGTGGGGGAAGACGTTTGATTAGTATGACACAAAGCTCCAGTTAGGTGCCACTCCCGAGTTTGATGCTGAGTCTGCACAGTGCCCTATGAGATCGGCTGGTATTATTAACCACATTCTACAAGACGCATCCACAGAGAGTCTTGCCTGATAGCACAGCAGAGCTTTGATCAGGACACCCATGTGGGCTGACTACACGTCATGCTCCATTACTACCTCACAAATCATACAACCTCATGCCCTACTATGTTTATTTCATAAATTATTTTTTGTGAGTACTTCTCACACATGTGATAAACATGTGAAAATTAAAATAAGAAGCCAAACTGAGCTTGAAGTTAGAAATTAACCTTACCAGCTATGACCACACTTCAAAAGCCCCTTTTAACCACTGAACTTTCTCAATCTGAGATAATACTGATAGCCATTTTGAAAAGGTATTTAATCCCCCCCCACATCCATGTCATGATCTATTCATTATATTATTATTTATTTTGAGAAAGTAACCTATTTTAAACAAGTTCCAAGATAAAGTACACTAGAACTGAGTTATCATTAATTTTGAAGTTGCAAAACTAAAAGACAAAACCAAACACCTCAAAATGAATTTTAATTTGGGCAAAGGAAGTCCCAGAGTTCCCTAAAAGCCAAAATCAAAGATAAAGGGCCAGCTTTGATTACTTACAAAGATTTCCAGTGAGTCCCAGCATAAAACATAGAAGAAAACATACAGAGGTTGAATTTATATTTTTGTATCATATACTCCTTCTGATGAGATCTGAGGGATAGATACTGCAACGCAAAGCCCATTGTGACCAGGTTTTATACTCCCCAGAGTTACATGTCTAGAAAACTAACTCCCATTTTAATTTTACAGTAAATCATTTCAATTTGTACAAAAACAAAATTTGGCACTGTACATCAACTAAGAACCTTCTGACTGGTCAACTTGAATGTGGCTGCAGAGGAAGAGCACAGGACTGTGAGTCGAGGCCACGGTCTAATCCAAGTTCTGCCACCAAGAAAATGAACCTGAGCAAGTCACTCAAACTCTCTTTGCTTCAAGGCTTTTATTTGTAAAATGAAGGTAATAATACCTGCCTTCTACCTACCTCTCAGGGATGTTGTTGAGTATAAAAGATAAGCTATGTGAAGCATTTTGAGCTTTTTGGAAGAAAAGAGATATGGAAAAGTTAATCATACATTTACATAATCTTAATATATAAGAGAGGAGACCTTGGCCGGGAACTGTGGCTCATGCCTGCAATCTCAGCACTTTGGGAGGCAGAGGTGGGTAGATCACCTGAAGTCAGGAGTTGAGACCAGCCTGACCAACATGGAGAAACCCCGTATCTACTAAAAATACAAATTTAGCTGGGGGTGGTGGCACATGCCTGTAATCCCAGCAGAGGCTGTGGTGAGCTGAGATAGTGCCATTGCACTCAAGCTTAAGCAATAAGAGTGAAACTCTGTCACAAAAAATAAAAAAGAGAGAGGCCTTAAGATACAGTAGATGTAACAAGGCTGTCGCACTTTACAGTATATCATGGTATGGCTAATTACATTCAAAATGCCTCTTGACTTTATTTGCCATTTATCAAGCTTAATGTGCCAGGGATAGAGTACACTGGGTATCTGGGGAATGCAAAGATAAATGATCCCTTTCTGAGAGCAAAATAAAAGTCTTAGCATTCTCTAATCTTTTCCCAAGGACAGTCACATAGATTAAAATGGTGAGTAATATGAAGGCTATCAAAGGAGAAAAAAACAGGATTGTGATAAAGAGCAACATTCAAGAAAAATTCACTCGGCATTCTAGTTTCCCCAGCAGCTGGGGAGGAGTAGACTGAGGACAGTATCTGTTATTGCTAACTGAAAGAATAAACCCTAAGAATCCTGGCCGTCACAATGAAAAGAATCTAGGAAAGCTAAAAATGTAGAATGCCCTCCTTGCCAGGGATGTCTGCAGGAATTCAAAGCCTAGGGTGACTGTGACCCTGACTGTCCAGCAACAATGTGACTCAAAGGCAGTTACTTAAAGACAACATTTTCCAATCTCACAGAAAACTTCCAAGGGAAGCATGCTATATTGGTTTTTGAATTGCCCAATATAAATTTAATGTAAGATATGATGATTAGAAAAACTATGTATGGTTTTATAGTAAGAGGAGGAAGAAAGAAAGCAGAGAATAGGCCTATAATTCTAACCTAATACCATGCTTATTACTAACTCAGCAAGTTTTCCAGATTTCATTTTAGTGCTCTGCGCTGTGGGCTCCATGAAGGAAGAGTGAATATGGTCACAGAAGTCTTTCTTTCCATTTCCAGTCTCTATCATCACAAAGAGTTGCACTGATCTCTGCCAAGAGCTTGCCTGAGAATACAAGTGGAGCACAAGTCTCATAGCTAAGGCAGATTTTACTTGTGGCAAAGTTTTTATGATACAGATGTTTCCGCACTAGAAAAAGACTCTAAGTAGGCCCCACTAATATAACCCTCGTATTTGTGATTCAGTAAACTACAAACATTGCCTTCCAAAGGCCATGGATATAATCAACTCCAAATGAGGAGCTGATTGTACACAGGGAAATGTACATTCTGGTTCAAAGTTCTTCCTAATTTAAAAAAAAAAGAAAAAAAAAAACGTAGATTTTGAACATGACACACTTTCTTTGAAAAGTTATAAAGTCTAGAACAATTACAGCATCAAAAACATTTGAAACATTTACCTAGAGATAATTTAAGTATATATTTCATGGAAATAAAAAGGGCCAAAAGCACATTTCTAGTGAGGCTTAGATTTCAGGATAAGTGATCTTTCCTTAGATATGTTCACACACAAAAATAAGATTTAGAAAATGGGTAACAAAAGATTTCTCTTGCCAGCACAAAACCATGCTCGTTAAGTTTGGGATTCTACATAATTTTCTACAATATAAGTTTACTGCAAATGGAAAATAATTATATAGCTTATAATTGGTAAAAGTATAAATAACACAGAGAAATATTCTAAGAGCATATGCATATTCTAAGAACATAAGGTTCTTATATGCTGAATGAAAACATCCAAAGGAAGCACAGTGCTAACTTGATATATAACATCTTTGAACTCTGTAGTTCTAAAGAGTGGTTCAAATGAGTATTTCACTTTAGACCCAGTTAAGTCCCTTTCACTTGTCCAGTGGACACAGGAAACCATGAATAAAGTTCGGAAAATAGATTTCTAGATCCTGACACCTTTGAACAAAGACCTATAAATTTATAGATTTAAATCATGGGTTCATTTCCAAATCATTTCCAGTTAAAATAAGGTCAGGTTAATTGATAATGCCAACCCTTGGACAGAATTAAAGTAACAGATTACAAAGAAGGGTCAGAATCAAATTAAAATTCAGTTAAAATCTATTCTTATAGACTTAGTAATTTAGGTTTACATTTTAAGTTACACTAGTAATGGAAAATTAAGATATTAAAAAGACAAACCACAAGTACAATTATGCTTAAGTATTTATTTTCTAAAGTAAGGACTAAATTGTCTCTCTTCCTTAAGTAGGAGTTAGGTTTGGGAATTCATGTCTTTGAAATGACAAAGATAACTTAATACAAATGGCACATCAGCCTTTAAAAAGGCTTAATTTGGTTTCAATTTGAGATACCAGGTAAACCTGAATAAACATACACAGAAAAGGGATAAACTGGATTATGTAGGATAATTCTAAAAAATCAGGGGTCAGCAGAAAGCTTTTCTACTCTCAGCATATTTGATATTAAATTTCAACTTAATCTAATAGTATTTTTAAAAAAACTGTACTCATATAACAGAATGTCTGTTAATACTGTTAGGTCACAAAGTATCCAAAGAAACAGAATAGGCAAGTTGCTTTTTCCATAGTAATCCAATCGGATTTTTCTTAAACAAGTCAGTATCTCACAAAATATAAATATCTACAATACTCATGGATGCAGAGTGCTGACCTAAATGTTATAATTTATTAACAGCTTCCCGTTTTTAAAAGTACAAGGTAATGAAATAATATGGTATGCTACACATCAAGTTACTGCTGGTTTACAGAGTACTTTTAGACTGTTTAAGCTGGCTTTAGTGGGTTATCAGAAAGAGTAAGTTTAAGCAAGTTTCTTCATATACATTTGTGAATATAAAAAAAAACAAGGCACTTAATGGCAACAGTGCTGTCCCAGAATATCTTACAGACCAGCTCCAGCAGGTAACCTTTGGTACAGCTCCTTAACCTCTTCGTGTTTTGCTTTTCCTTTATCCACACTTTGCTTACGCATCTCAGCCATTTCAATACACCACTCCTCAAATTTGGAATTATCCCGATCTACCAGCTCTTGAAGAAAGGCTATTCAAACAGAAAGACAAAAAACAACTTTATCCTTGTATTCAAATATAGTGAATCATGCTAATCTCTAAATTACATCAAATACTGATTAAAACATTGGCAGAAATTCCAACTATGGTTTCCCTGTCTGATAGAAACCTCCCATCTGAAAGCAGGAATAAAACTGAAGACAGCCACTGGAATACTAAGTTGATTCCCCTCACCTAGCTCTCCATGACATCATCAGCCTCCCAGAAAAATCGAATGGCTCAAAATCACCACTTTAGAATAGATGACACCACCAAGCTCAGAAAACTGCTGAGTAAAATGACTAAGACTATCTTCGGGGCAGCAGCAATGCTACATTTTTATTAGGAAGTCTAGAAAATCCATAAATAATTGGATAAAATTCACAAATACTCTATAAACTGAACAAAACAAAACCAAATTATACTTTAAACACGTCTTGATTACCTCCCCATTTTTTCATAATTTCATTGCTTTATTTCAGATGTTCATTTCTTAAAAATAAATATGTGATTAATATTTACTTTCACCAACATTTATCATATGGAATCAATTTATCATAATAAATAAGAGCAATGGCCGGGCGCGGTGGCTCAAGCCTGTAATCCCAGCACTGTGGGAGGCTGAGGCGGGTGGATCACGAGGTCAAGAGATCGAGATCATCTTGGTCAACATGATGAAACCCCGTCTCTACTAAAAATACAAAACATTAGCTGGGCATGGTGGCGCGTGCCTGTAATCCCAGCTACTCAGGAGGCTGNTTAGCTGGGCATGGTGGCGCGTGCCTGTAATCCCAGCTACTCAGGAGGCTGAGGCAGGAGAATTGCCTGAACCCAGGAGGCGGAGGTTGCGGTGAGCCGAGATCGCACCATTGCACTCCAGCCTGGGTAACATGAGTGAAACTCCGTCTCAAAAAAAATAAATAAATAAATAAATAAGAGCAATGTATTCGTTATCATTAATTTTTGAGTATGGCACTCTAAAACACCTGCCTGATATAATCCAGGAAAACTGCCTTACCTGGAACTTGAACAGTAGTGTTGGGCTTTTCTTGAGTTTGCAGTCTATAAACCAACATATACGCATTTCGAGAGCAGTGAGTTCCTTTGCCGCACTTGGGTTTACGTGTCTGAGACTTAGAAGGTTCTGCTGAGATAGAGAAATCAAAAGGTACCTTAACTTAAATGCATAGAGTTTGTTTATTCTTCAGTAGGGCTATAGAAAACAATTTCCAAAATATACACCCAAGACACATTAACATGAATCTAAAACATTCAAAGCCCATACAAATCTGACAGGCTCTTTGGCTTCTAGTATTTAAAAAAGTTTACTACGCCTATTGCTTGCCACATTCCATTTTCAAAAGATGAAAAGAAAATACATTTTTCTAGGGAACAAACATGGAACAACAAAAAAATCACTCTTGCTATAAGTTGATTTTAATATTAGGCTTAATTATAAAACTTAACTGAAGCAGGGCACAGGGGCTCGTGCTTGTAATCACAGCACTCTAGGAGGCCAAGATGGGCGGACGACTTGAGGCCAGGGGTTCCAGACCAGTCTGGCCAACATGGAGAAACCCTGTCTCTACTAATAACACAAAAATTAGCTGGGTGTGGTGGTGCACACCTGTAGTCTACCTACTTGGGAGGCTGACGCAAGACACTTGATTGAACCAGGGCGGTGGAGGCTGCAGTGAGCCGAGATAGTGCCTCTGCACTCCAGCCTGGGTGACAGAGCGAGACTCTGTCTCAGAAAAGAAAAAAGGTAAATTAAAATAAGTTTTAAAATAAAAATAGGCCAGGCACGGTGGCTCACATCTGGACAGAATGGTGAAACCCTGTCTCTACTAAAAATACAAAAAGTAGCTGGGAATGGTGGCACATGCCTGTAATCCCAGTTACTCAGGAAGCTGAGGCAGGAAACGCTTGAACCCTGGAGGCAGAGGTTGCAGTGTGCCACTGCACTCCTGCCTGGGTAAAAGAGTGAAATTCTGTCTCAAAAAAAATAAATACATACATAAAAATCGAAACTGATGCAATCACTGAAGGGAACATGGGACTTCAACTCTCCTGGAAATATTTTATTCTTTTTTTTTTTTGAGGCAGAGTCTCCCTTTGTCACCAGGATGAAGTGTAATGGCACGATCTTGGCTCACTGCAACTTCTGCCTCCTGGGTTCAAGTGATTCTCCTGCCTCAGCCTCCTGAGTAGCTGGGATTACAGATCCCTGGTTAATTTTTGTAGTTTTAGTAGATATGAGCTTCTACCACGTTGTTCAGGCTGGTCTCGAACTCCTGACCTCAGATGATCTACCCCCCAAAATGCTGGCATTACAGGCATGAGCCACCACACCCGGCCAATTTCATTGCAGTTTTTGAAATCATGCTATTTAAGGCAGGGTGCGGTGACTCACACCTATAATCCCAGCACTTTGGTAGGCCAAGGCAGGAGGATGACCTAAAGTCAGGAGTTCAAGACTAGCCTGGCCAACATGGTGAATCCTTGTCCCTACTAAAAATACAAAACTTAGCTGGATGTGGTGATGCACACTTGTAATCCTAGCTACTGGGGAGGCTGAGGCAGGAGAATCACTTGAACCCAGGAGGCAGAGGTTACAGTGAGCAGAGATCATGCCATTATACTCCAGCCTGGCAGATAAGAGTGAAACTCCATCTCAAAAAAAAGAAAAGAAAATATGCTATTTTATTTCTTAGGACAATTAAATTTAGATTTATTTTTATGATTTTTACTAAATTGAAGAACTTCTGTTTACTAAAATGATTACTGAGCTAATTTTTATTTTTCAAACTGTAAATATACATTTTACATATACTTTTATTTTATTAAAAAACAACATTAAAACAAATATTTGTACACCAAGCAATCATTAAAAATAAAAATATTTTCAGCTGGCCACAGTGGCTCATGCCTGGAATCCCAATTTTTTGGGAGACAGAGCCGGGCGGATCACGAGGTCAAGAGGTCAAGACCATTCTGGCCAACATGATAAAACTCCATCTCTACTAAAAATACAAACATTAACTGGGTATAGTGGTGTGTGCCTGTAATCCCAACTACTCAGGAGGCTGAGGCACGAGAATCACTTGAACCTAGGAAGCGGAAGTTGCAGTGAGCTGAGATCACATCATTGTATTCCAGCCTGGGTGACAGAGTGAGATTCAGTCTCAGAAAAAAAAAGAATGAAATGCTAACAAGCAGAAACATTAGCCACCAATCTCTATGAAGTAAACAGCAGGTGGAAAACATGAAGTATTTCAGATGGCAACTATAGTACATGAAAATGATTTTCCAATTGGGTTTCAGTGTTCCAGGTAACTTTCCAAGAGGTTATGAAGGCAGATCATTTGAGGTCAGGAATTTAAAACCAGCCTGACCAACATGATGAAATCCCATCTCTATTAAAAATACAAAAAATTAGCCAGGCATAGTGGCGTGCATCTGTAATCCTAGCTACTCAAAAGGCTGATGCAGGAGAATCACTGGAAGCCAGGAGGCAGAGGTTGCAGTGGGCCGAGATCATGCCACTGCACTAAAGCTTGACCGAAAGAGTGAGACTCTGTCTCAAAAAGAAAAAGAGAGGGGCCGGACGCAGTGGCTCATGCTTGTAATCCCAACACTTTGGGAGGCCAAGGCGGGCGGATCACCTGACGTCAGGAGTTTGAGACCAGCCTGACCAACATGGAGAAACCCCGTCTGTACTAAAAATACAAAAAATTAGCCAGGCATGGTGGTGCAGGCCTGTAATCCCAGTTACTTGGGAGGCTGAGGCAGGAGAATCGCTTGAACCTGGGAGGCGGTGGTTGCAGTGAGCCAAGATCACACCATTGCACTCCAGCTTTGGCAACAAGAATGAAACTCCGTCTCAAAAAATAAAGAAAAGAAAAAAGAGGTTATGGGCACTTCTAAGGAAATCCAGTTTTCAGATCCTCAATTCACCATTTTCTTTCCTAAAATGGATCTGCCTCAACAATGAAGTCCCATTATGGTTTCTACCTCTCTTTCACAAAGAAAGATATAATCTCAGTGACAGACGAGGGTCTTATCTATCACATTAAGATACATTTACAAAAAAAAAAAAAAATACATTTACAGTAAAAATTTTACTGTTTAATAAAATTTATAACATACCTTTATGAGTTTTATCAATTAAGTAGTAATATTCATAATTTTAAAAACACCACTCTATCCAGAAGTACTTTTTAACTATTTAGAGCTTTATAGTCACAAAAAACTTAGTATATTCCATAAGAATAAAATTCTGTAGAGTAAACATAATGAAAATACTGGTGCAGAAGGAAATGGAATTGTTAAAAATGCCTACTATAAAACAAGACCTTTTCGGGTATCCTTGAAAAGGATGGTGGTGGATATCCGATCTCTATGCTATTTAATGTTATCTGGACATTCTTATAAGAGTGATGTTACAAATTAAGTTTCAATATTTATAATGTCATAAATTACAGAATTTGGAGATACTTAAAATTTATGATGAAATTTGTTAGATTTTAAAATGTGCAAAGAAAAAATAGTTGTTCAAAGGCGTAGTGACACATGCCTGTAATCCCAGCTACTTGCGGGGCTGAGGCACTAGAATCACTTAAACTCAGGACGCAGAGGTTGCAGCAAGCCGAGATCTTGCCATTGCACTCCAGTGTGGGCAAGAAGGCAACAGGAGCAAAACTCTGCCTCAAAAAGAAAGAAAAACCATTAGCTGAGCATTGTGGCACATGCCTATCATCCCAGCTACTCAGGAGGCTGAATCATGAGAACTGCTTGAACCCAGGAGGCAGAGGTTATAGTGAGCTGAGATCGTGTTACTGCACCCCAGCCTGGGTGACAGAGTTAAGACTCTTCCAAAAAACAAACAAACAAAATTTTGCCAGGTGTGGTGGTAAACATCTGTAGGCCCAGCTACTAGTAAGGCTGAGGTGGGAGGATCACGTGAGCCTAGGAGGTTGAGGCTGCAGTGAGCCGTGATTGCACCACTGCATTCCAGTCTGGGAAACAGAGTAAGACCCCGACTCGAAAAAGAATACAAAACAAAAAAACAATTATTGCTAATACAAGATGATTTTACATGTGTTTAAGAAATGCAAATATCTTAGCTTGGAAAGTTAAAAAAAAAAAAAAAATGCAAATATCCTTGAAGGTCCACAACATAACAATCTTGAGCCAGAATAATGCTTCACAAATATTTCTAGTAAAATAAATTTATATTTTAAAAGGGCACTCACAACTTAAAGGTTTTACCTAGATCTTCCTCAATCCCTAGTTGCAATTTCTTCCCCTCCATCTTTTCTATGTCTTCATCATTAAACTTATACCATTCACCAGACTGTGGATCCTTCACATGGGCGATGTAGTGGCCAGAATAAGCACTCACTCCTCTGTGTATGAGGACTGCACTGAGTTCATACACATAGGACCCACCTGGAGAGAAAGGGAGAAAGTAAAAGAAACACTGGATAACAGTATTTCTTATATCCTGAGCCTCAACTGTAAAGATTACGAATCTTTATACATCTGGTATAACTAAAAACACATCACCTACAATTTTTAAAAATTAGTTTTACAAAATAATGTATAATTACACTCCCTTAACACTCTCTTAAACACACCCTCTTAAACAGCACACTGTATTAACCCTCCAAGCCCCCTGCAGAATACACAGATGAAAAACCACAGCCTCCTGGGCACTCGGGGAGTATAAGCTACTCTACTACATACTGTGCTCTTCAGCACAGACTAGAGAGGCCACACACTTACCAAGAAAGCTGTTCATACTCTCTGATGTGTTACAAAAATTAAAACTTAATTGACAGTGAATGGACATTTACATTTTAAAATGAACTAAAATGTCTTAAAGTTTGAAAAACATCTTTCAAAGATCCTAAACTTAAAACAATTAAAGAAATGTGTTAGAAAATATCACTTCTACTATATATGTTCTGTTATTTACAGAACAAAAAGAATCATTGATGAATCCACATAACCACAACTAATACTAAAACCTACAGTTTTTTTCTAACAAACATCATCTTTTCACATCATTATTCTTCTAAAGATTATTTATAATGACTATATATAATTACCATAATGTACCTAACTACACCCATATTAATGAACATTTAAACTGGTAGCATTTCAGGGTCTTTATATGCAATAATAATTAACTTTGAAGTACAAATCTTTGCACAGATCTTTGACTGCCCCCGTCCCCCCCTTCAGGGTCTTGCTCTGTCACCAGACTGGATTATAGTAGCACAGTCACCTGACTGAAGTACAGTAGCACAATCACAGCTCACTGCAACTTCAACCTCCTAGGCTTAAGTGATCCTCCTACCTCAGCCTCTTGGAGTAGCTGGGATGAGAGGCACACATTTTAATTTTTTCAAATTAATTAATTTATTTTGAGACGGAGTTTTGTTCTTGTTCCCCAGGCTGGGCTCCACCTCCTGCATTCAAGCAATTCTAGTGCCTCAGCCTCCCAAGTAGCTGGGGTTACAGGCACCCAGCACCACGCCCAGCTAATTTTTGTATTTTTAGTAGAGACGGGTTTCACCATGTTGGCCAGGCTGGTCTCGAACTCCTGACCTCTCTCCCAAAGTGCTGGGATTATAGGCTTGAGCCACTGCACCTGACCATTTTTTTTTAAAAAGATGGAGTTTTGCTCTTGTTACTGAGGTTGAAGTACAGTGACAAGATCTCAGCTCATTACAACCTCTGTCACCTGGGTTCAAGCAATTCTCCTGCCTCAGTCTCCCAAGCAGCTGGGATTACAGGCACCTGACACCACGCCCAGCTAATTTTTTGTATTTTTAGTAGAGGTGGGGTATCGCCATGTTGGCCTTGAGCTCCAGAACTTCCAGGCTGGTCTTGAACTCCAGACTTCAGGCGCTCCACCTGCCTTGGCCTCCCAAAGTGTTGGGATTACAGGCGTGAGCCACTGCGCCCAACATCCCCCCCTCCTTTGTTTTTTAATAGACTGGGTCTTACTGTGTTGCCCAAGCTAGAATTTGACTATTTCCTTAAAAATGCAAAGAGTAAGTCACAGCAGGGTATAGCCAATCACTCACTAGATAAATAATAAACATGCTGGACACAGTTTCAGGCGTGAAGGATACAGCAGTTGACTAAATGAACAAAGTCCCTACATTGTTGCAGCATAGTGGGGGAAACAGTGATGCAGATTAATACCTGGGCCAAAACCCACTGAATTCACCCCAGCTGAAAATACTGAAGATACTGGGTAAGATAAAAATGTTTTCAAATCTTTCTAAATGCACTAATTATCTGGCAAGAAAGTAAGAATTCTCAGAAGCCCAGTACCATGTGACGGCAATAAGCCATGTAGTATGGACAACAGAGGTTCCCTCTGGGACCATTAGGGGAACACTATGATCAACTTGAACTCTGTTTTACCATATCTCAAGGGGCTTACAGGATCAGAGACAACAGCTAAGGTTCATAAAAGTTGAGGTGTCTAACAGGGGACTCCCACCAGGAAACTAAGGGTCTTTTTAAATTGACAAATAATATTTGTACATATTTATGGGTACAATGTAATGTTTGATATGTTTACATCATGAAATGATTAAATCAAGCTAATTAATATAACCTGGTTTGTTTGTTTTTGTTTTTTGTTTTGTTTTGTTGTGAGGTGGAGTCTCGCTCTGTGGCCCTGGCTGGAGAGCAGTGGCATGATCTCGGCTCACTGCAACCTCTGCCTCCAGGATTCAAGCAATTCCCTGCCTCAGCCTTTCGAGTAGCTGAGATTACAGGCACCCACCACCATACCTGACTAATTTTTGTATTTTTAGTAGAGACAGGGTTTCACCATCTTGGCCAGACTGGTCTTGAACTCCTGACCTCACGATCCACCCGCCTCGGCCTCCCAAAGTGCTGAGATTAGTCGTGAACCACTTCACCTGGCCAACGTAACTATTTTTTGTGGTAAGAACATTTAAAACCTGTTTTTTTAGCTATTCAAAATGCTCAATGCATTATGAACTGTAGTCACCATGTTGTACGTAACTCTCCAAAACACATTCATCCTGTTTAACTGAAGCTTTGTACTCTTTAAACATCATCTCCCCTCAATGCCTCTGCCACCCACCAACCCCATTCCCTAGATTCTGGTAACCACCATTTTCTTCTCTATTTTATTTTTTTTAATTGTCTTTCTTCTCTATCTGTATGTATTTGACTTTTTTAGATTCTATATATACTACAGATGAGATCATGCAGTACTTGTCTTTCTTAGCCTGGCTTGTTTCACTTAGCACAATGTCCCCCAGATTCATCCATGTGATCACATATGACAGAATATCCTTCCCACTTCCCATTTAAGGCTGAATAGTATTCCATTGTGTATATATACCACATTTTCTTTGAAACTAGAATTCATTGGTTTAGAAGATTATCAATGGTAAGAGAAAATTAGCTGCCTTATACTTACATTTTGGGACCTACGGATAAAAATGAAAAACAAAAAGCAAGACTCCATTACAACTTCATAAGAAGCTAGCCCTCAAAAAGATTTCTTTACCATGAATTCACACTACCTATGAAGTCAGAAAAACTTCAAGCCAAGAGTTTTGTTTGATGTGGTGCTGGGATGAGTAACAGTCCTAAGGAATGAATTCCATCAAAACACACAGACACACGTCATGTAACACAAGTCACTCTAACTGCAAGGCAGCAAACAGCAACAAAAGCAAACTGATGGAGATTTTCACCTCAGTCAGTAGAAACAGCAAATACATAAATAAAATTTTAAGTGTATTTAAAGAAATAAATGATGGAACTATAGATTATAGAAAATGAAAATCAAATGATGATGAACAAAATCAAACTCCTAGAAATGGAAATCATAGTCACCGAGAGTCAAAACTCTATAAAAAGGTTAAACCTCAGATTAGGTTCATCTGAACCGAATACATAAAGTACAAGGTAGAGCTGAAGAAATTATGCAGAATACAGGGCAAAGCACTGAAGGGTTGGGCAACATGCAGCATAGGGCAAGAAAATCTAACACATATCTAACTGGCATTCCAGAAGGAAAGGGAAAAGAGAAAAAACATTCAAAGGTAATAGAAAATTTTCAGATGCCCTAGGTAAGAAGAATAAATCAATTAAAAATCAAACCGCCAGGCGCGGTGGCTCAAGCCTGTAATCCCAGCACTTTGGGAGGCCGAGGCGGGTGGATCACGAGGTCAAGAGATCGAGACCATCCTGGTCAACATGGTGAAACCCCGTCTCTACTA